TAGGCTGTAAATTCTCCACAGCTATCCAAATACACGAACAATTAATTTTTTTTAATAAATGAGGTGCATTGTTTGAGTTGTGCGTCCGTCGTTCAGTGGTTGAGCTCTGGCCGACCATGAACGTGGTCCGGGCTTCGAGTCCCGGCCGGCGCACACCTTTACCTCCCTTAGCCGGTTACGATCGCGACGAAGAGGGAAAGTTGGGCGTGAGGCTAGCAACCCCACCCCGTAAAGACAAAATCCACTGCTAATGAAACTACAAAGCGCTAGTTTGAAGCCCTATGTTCCACTGGGAATGCAAAGGAATAAAAACAATTGAACTGTGGGAATGTGTGTGAATAATATCCCGCTGGAACACATTGTCTGTATCACACAACCACAATAGTATTAATAAAGTGTTTTAATAATATGACAGTACAAAACACGTATAATTTGATTCATATAGTTCCCCTATCACAGGTAACTAAGTGGAATGAATGAAATTGGCTCCATCGGCCTACAGATTAGCGTAGTTGTAAGCATCTGTGTACACGGGGTTTTGTGTTATGAACATGTATAACTTTCTTAATGACCTAATGTTTATGTTAAGATCGTATACCACTGATCATTTAGTTTTTCATACACTGAAATAGTGTCTGGTCGCTGAAAACCACTCTGTCAAGGTAAAAGATTATTACCCTGTTATAAAAGTTTCATAAATTAACGGATTATACCACTTACATAAATACTCCAATTTCACTTGACATAAGAAAACAATCTTAATACCAATAGATAAACGGGTTTAAATCTCCTCTCACTCTTCTTATCTAAGGTGAGACAAATCCAGAATAATCTGAATGCCTCAAATTGTTGGATAAATCGTCTTGATATGCAAAGCTTGCTGAACAGACTAGTGCACCTCGATCGTCAAAATCGAGGATATAACGTGAATAATCGATGTATAGTTAAGATCATAGAATACAAATTCCCTTCTCACCTCAGTTTTATAGAACCTGGAAAACAGCTTTTACTCAGAAATAATTTTAAAATTTCCAGCTTTGCACTCAGCATTAACTATCTGAATCTCCTAATTTCACTGGATCAACTTATTCAGACACATGTTGTTGTTACACTGAGCGGCAGTGTTGAATGAAGTAGACTGCATAATTACATGACAACTTGTGGGCCCTAGAAACTAACACTTATTCAGTTCAATATGTTATGAAGAAACAGAAGTGAAAAACTGTCATGATATATGTGACCTGTTGATGTCATCCATGTGATAAATTTCATTTTATCTCCCTGAAAAGCATCAAATTTACACAAATATTAGATGTTGATCCTACTCTCACTCATTACTCTTCTCTTTGATTATTAAGAATTCACAGTCCTAACTCAATGTGGTTCTTCATACAGTGTACATGACTAGGCACTGTAATGAGTCTAACACACAGTTGCCCAGGAGGCTTAGACTTCTTCTGGTCAAATATTTTATTTATATTTCAATTTCTTATGTAGACGTCTGCCTACGCAGAAGTTGTTCATTGTTGCTAGGTCTTACTTGTGTTTCATTCACTTTTTGTGGAAGAAAATTGATACTTTCTGCTTAAGATAAAGCAAACCTTTAGATGATTTATACTAGTAAGATGACATCGCAGATTTGGACCAACAGTCCGAATAGTTCAGTTTTATGAGTCAAATCACTCCTTTTGGTCTGACAGCTGTTGAAGTAGAGAAAGATCAGTTATCCATCACTTAACAGGAGTTACATTGCTTTTCAGTTGCATAAGTTTACCAATGGTAAATACAAGCATACCATAAATTTTTCACAATAAGCAGACTCAAACTACAATAAATTACTAGTAAATTATTGTAGGAAAATCAACTGACAAATATGTTGCAGATAAGATGGAAATTCGATTTTCATTCCCTGTCCAGTCTGAGATTTTCAACCTTCCCATAGAGTATGTCTGAATACTAGACAGAAAGAAAAATTCTTTTTAATGAAATTTTAACTGACTAAAAATACTAAAATGTATTTTTCATGGTTGTTTTTAGGCATAAAGGTTGTTTAATTTTGAAGCTGAATTTTATTCACGAAATAAAACAGAAGATTTCTTCAGAATTTGTTAATATTTCAATGTTGAATAAAAGATCCACACGCGTGTGAGGTGAGATCATGATAAGTGTTGAACAGAGTTTCTTCTTCTTCTTTTCCACTTTGGCTGTCACACGCGGATTTGTCTATTCGTTCTCCGCCTTCTCCTTCTTCTCTTCTTTACTATCTGCAATGAAATCAATTCTTGATTCAATTAGGGTCAACAAGTGTTGAAATAATTCAGTTTAATTCGATTTACTGCATAGACGATGTCTTCTGTCCTTTTTCCCTCTTCCACATAACCATTGCCTTAATTTCATATTTTATTAGATAATAAGCGTTTAAGCTGAAATAAATCTTATTCATGAAAATGATTCGGACTACCAGTGAAATCCCACCAGAAATAAAATATTAATTATACTTGAATTATGAATAGCAGTTAATAGATATGCATTTCAAGTAATTTTGTCCTCCTTTCTTTTGTCTCATTGCGCATATATGCATTTGTCTGTGTATATCAGTATATGTGTTTAAGTATGCATCTAATTAACTGACCCTAATTAAAATAGATTTAATATAAAAGAGGTGAAATTCATCTTCTGTTCCCCAGTTCTAATAACCAAAAAGTGAACAGTATTGTTTATAATCGGGAAAGTAATACATATTTTATAAGAAAGCCATGGTTACATATCACTCAATAATGCACCTTAAAATGCAATATCTGTCTACCTATCTCTCAATATGGGCTTGGTCCCCAGTAGATATCATTAGGTCACAAAAACAATTATGGAGTCTGTTAATTTCTCACTGTCAATTAGAAATACGAATAATTAGTGAAACAATTTATATTGGGGGACAGATTTGATTTATTTCATGGACCACTTAAAATTGGATTACATTACATGGTATGGGTACACAAAATTGATAATAGCAACTTTTTTTGGCATTAACAGTCCCAATAAAGTTAAACATGTACAGAAAGTATGTAATAATAATGATAATAATGATGTTAATAACTAAAATCGTAAGGTAATTGAAATAGTGTCAACATAAATTACAAATAGGAAAAGATAAAAGAGCCGCTTACTTTGCTTATTACATAGTAAATTGTAAGTTTCATACTTAACACTATTTCTCTCACATAGAACGCCAATCAAATACGGTATCGTTGACTTTTTGTATCTAGTTGTGCCAGTGTCTAATCTTTTGTAGGGACTCCGAGTCCTACCTGATGAGATGTTAGGGGACGGCTGTAAATAGAGAGGGCTTTCAGAATCAGACAATATGGATTTGAACCATTCCTTACTTGAGTTCAGGTGTCTGTCGACTACAGATGGGGCGAGCTGACTAAATGGCACACTACCTGCCCTAATGACAGCCTTTATTACTTTTTCCAATGTGACATAGACCTTTTTGAGTAACCTGAGAAACCCCAAGGGGAAGCAATAAAAACAAAAGCTAAGATGCAAGAGTTAACAGACTGTAAAAGTAGAGGTTGTGTGATTCCTGATTGTCTTAACTTCTTAATGTGGAAGGTCAGACAAAAAACTTTCTTAGAAGTCACCAACATATGGAACGTAAAACTCAGTTTAATGTCAGACCAATAGAAATAAGCGTGAAAGACAAGACATAAATGAATGCATAACCATTCACAATGAAAACAAATGAACATTCGGTTGCCAGATTGTACAGAAGCGATTTAATACAGACGTACATTCATTCATATTTTGAATACGTTTTGATAGTTGTAGAATTTTGTAGAAAATGAACCTAAAACATGTGGAAATTAGAAACTTATTCCAACTGAAAGCGTGAGTGGTAAATTATTTAATTGCTTTTAGACACTAGTAAAGAGAACTTTAACAAAATTTTCAGTAACTAGGATGCGCACAGTTATTTAAAGCTGATTCAAACCTTACTGTTTGTCCTTAGGAAATGTGGGCATAAACTTAAAGCGACTCGTGGATAGTCGGCAACTAATTTTTACAAAACGAGACTACTGATTTACAGTTTGTCTACTTGTTTTAATCTTTCTTGAATTTCACAGTAAAAATCATGTTTATATGAAAACACTAGCCATCGAAGCCATGAGTATATGCCATGTTTCCAGCATTATTTTGGTGCATTGTCTGTGTATATTGTAACGAATGTTGCATTATTTCTTAACGTCTTCCTAAAGGCTTTTAAGGGAAATAACAGCAATATTTTTGTCTGATTTACAACAGAAACTAAAGTATTCCGTCGAATGTTTATTCTATCATGGGAAATTCCATTGTAAGCTGTACGTTCCTCTAGAAACTTTAGATTTATCGATCCTATTTAGTCATGGTACGCTGATCCATCTTACGCAAACTTCTGTAATAAAGTAGTTTTAATTTTTCAACGACTACTGAAGCTACTAAGCATATATACACCACATCCTCAGTAGCTGGTTATCCTAATGAAAAGTGTTGCAATCAAGTTAAATTATAACCATATAAAATACTAGTGTATGGCATGTAGCCTGTTTATTATCCTCTGACTTCCCTCAGTTTGACTAATACTCAACTTTTCAGTCATTTCAAGTCAAAGCTAATGTGCCTGACTCCGATATGATTTTACCAAAGAATCCACACTGCTTTTCAACACCTGACTGTTGGTCTGAAATCTGTTTTTCATCCCTTTCATACCCCGTGGAGCTTAGGGCTTAAAGTCTTGCAGTTTCAGTAGAAAAAGTGCTGTTTCTATTGAGTGGAATTACTGGCCTTCCATTTAGCTTTGCCTCTTTTCTAGGTTTATTATCTGCGAGGTGAGATTTAGGGATGCTTCCGAAAGAAATAGGACCTGGACCCCAGCGAAACTTTTTTTATTTTAAAATCGATTTCATTAGCAATTTTCATATAGTTTTGATGAATGTTACCTTTTAACTTTATTAAATTTCCAGCTTTCCCTCAGAATGTAACAGTGTATGCAAGCCATCATGCAAATCTCAAGACATTCTCGTATAAATAGTGACAGTGACATAAATTTTCGGCGCCACTGTAAATACTAGTCGACTAATGAATACAGACGGTGGGCGTTTTGATTTTGACGACGGTGGGACGTATATTGGTAACTGGTATCAAGGTTCAGCTCATGGACTTGGTCTAGCTACAGGACCGAATGGAGTAGGCGAATATTCTGGTGAATGGAATTTGGGCTTTGAAACGTGTGGAGTCTACTTATGGCCAAATGGAAATATGTACGCTGGCACATGGATCAAAGGCAAACGCCATGGTGATGGTGTGCAAGTTAGAGGAAAATGGATTTATCAAGGAGAATTTAATGCAGGTTCATTTGGTCAGTATGGTGTAAAAACCTCCATTAACAGTCAGGCAAAATATGAAGGCAGCTGGAGTTTAAACAGATTCGAGGGTTTTGGAATCGAAACTTGTGCAGATGGAAGTAAGAGAGAATTAGTCTTTATCTGATGTTTCTTTTATTTATCGTTTCATTTTTTTATTTACAATATGAATTCAGTTGCACACAGTAATCATCATGTAACAGATATTTGTTGGAAAAGACGTAGTGATGCAGTCGTTACTTATGTAGGCTGCAACTACTGAGGAGAGTAAGGTCTATGCTTCCGTTGCTAGCAGTGTTTGGTAGTCCTTTGAATTTCATTATTTAAGAGGTGTGGTCATCTGCCCACTGTGTTTCATTCAGTTGGGTAACATAATTATACCAAAGGGTGGCTCACATGTCCTATTGTAACAACAGAAGACAAGACACGGAAGCCAAGGTATATTTTTCATTATTCAAACCACCGTTAATACATATGCAGTTTATATTCGTTAACTAATCACTGAGCGTTTGATTTTGGTTTACATTGAAAGACATGAAATAGAATGTTCAAATACATATACAATATTCTGTTGCTAATGCAGTATTGAACAGTGAGAATATGTGTGAATAATATTCCGTTGGAACACATTGTCTGTATCACACCACCACACTATGTCTGATGCTACGACAATCACTATGGCAGCCTATTAAAATATACTTTTTCAATCTGATTTGTTTCTATTAATCTTATAAATCTACCTAGTGAGACTTAATTGTAAAAGAAAAATATGAAATTATTCATAGTATTTTTTTGTTCGTTACTCCAGTCATATTAGTAGTAAAACCGGTTGTTTCTACCCTCAGTATAAGGGTAGATATATGATAAAGATAACATCACTTGATTATAACTTTTCAATTTTCTTATTTCGTGATTTCCAGGGAATCCGTAACACCATAATGTAGTGGTGTTCGTATTGAGACAGTCTCAGAGCATCATTACCATGAGATAGTCACATGTAGTCTAACTTATAATTTCCTGTTGTAGTTAAGTTCATGACCAAAATAACTTTTTGTACGGATGCACGCATGACTATCGTATTTTAACACTCTCTGAAATTACTCTGTAGTCACAATCAGTAAAATATTTTAACGAACCCACATTTGTGGGCTGGCTTTATTTATCTAGACGACTGACATTTAATAAATATCATCCCAGATATAGGGATGCTGGATTAACTCCTAAATTGTGCTTACTGCCAATTACAAACTACCAATCAGTTGTGTTTCAGACTGCATAAATTGTTAAACGGTAAGCTGTGAATCTCCTGGAACTTACTTACACTCACTTGATGTTTATCCAACAAGACAAAAAATATAACATTCATTTTCAATACTACCTACTTCATTATAGTTATGTGACTGGAGAACAAAACGTTATTGGTTATCCCTAATGTAAGGGGTTCTGACCCAGTAACAAGGCATTCCGAAATTTGAGATTTGCCATTCACACAGTTTGAAGAAATGAAACTTCATCACAATTTCCATTGGAAACCGAAATTATCCGGATCACTATATGTGACTTACTTGATGCCATAAATGGTAATCAAGAAAGAAAGCCCGAATTTCCTGATGATTATCTACGGTATCTGAGTAGTCCGTTAATCTGAGCAATAAAATTAATCATAAATAATTTTCTCATTGATGTTTATGTGATAATATGGATTTTCCACAGATTAAGAATTAGACTAATACAAAATGATTGCAGGACATATCAATTAGAAGAAACACCGCTGCTCACTATTGGCTGACAATGGCTAATAAGTGACAGCTTTCATTAAAATTTGCCTTCATTAGTGACTGACAAAATTAAGCGGGATGGGGATGGATTTTTTTTCAGTAATAACAAGCTGACAGAAAAGTGACAGTTTATGTTTCCAGGAATACTACAACCTGTTTCACTGTTTACTACTGAAATTAAAGCAATAGGTTCAGATGTTACGTTTACGAGGCTTCATATATTTCACCACGAATCAGAATCAGTCAGTAAACTAATCATATCAATAGAGTACTAGAAAAACAGCGGTGGCGATATATCTTGAGTAGACAGTGGTTAGACTTCACCAGCCACTGAGCCCACTTGCTGAATAATGATGTACTTCCCACGTAACCTTTACATTCTAGGTACGATTTCTTGTCCGATGGTATTTCGCACTGCTAAGAAAACTCATCAAAGGACAAAACAGCTCTCTTGATTTTTTTGACTAAATCTATCTATTAGTTGAACTATATTCAAGTATTATTATGCCTCCGTAGTGAAATATCCTATGACCACTGAGAATCACATCCATCACAAAAAACAAAGAACAGTTTACCATCTGTCCCGCAGAAAAAGGGAGTATTTTGAAACTATGATGAGAGAAGCACTCTCTGAATGTACGGCTGATTAACAGCAATGAAGGGAAACCCAACTGATACAAGCCACTAAGTAAGGTCTGAAGTAAGACTATTCAGAAGACATATTCTTAGTGCATTTGTTGACTGACACAAACAGACCTGCAATACTTTCAGAGGAAACCTGTGGAAGAGGTTTTATTTTCTTTATGGTGTTTTCAAACCCTGTTCTGCTCAATATGAATGCGTATCACCTAAAAACGAGAGCTATTTTCATCTGTATTTTACTGTACATACTTCTGTCATTGTATCCCAATCACGCAACCCTTATTCTTCTGTTTAGCGTAAACTCATATCGTAGTTTTCAAGTGAAATTGCTTGCCCGTCCTTGAACTTCTTCGGCACACACCGTTCAGATATGCTTCGTACAGTAAGCGAATGTTAAAACAGAAGACAGTCTCTTAAATTGTTTGATTGATAATATACACTTTATGTACGTGATAACTTGGGATCATATGTTGTAATTAAGAACTAGATTATGCCTCTTGCATATACACCTAATCTCTGTGACCAATTAAAAAGAAATAATGGATGATATATTAGATTGTCTACTAGCTAACATGGAGAGGTCAAACCGTGATACTGATGGAAGTGAATTAAAAACAACAGTGGTCACTGTAAGGCATCTGGTGGCTGTTGATGTACGTCATGTTACTTGGCTATTCATACCTATAAGATTTTGAGAGAAATGGAATTTAAACAAAATCACCCCGATGTATTTGAATAACTTAAGTAACATGTTGGCTTCTATTTCTCCGTTTTGGTTTAAAAACTAAACCTCAGATAATGGATTTAATTATTAATAAAATATACAAGGATTTAACGCTCCCATAAACCTTACACATGGAGACTGGCTGAGATTTGGGATCAGAGGCTGCCCTCCTGTCAGATAAGTACCAAATCAAACCAGCAGTGACGTATTACGTAACGGTCTGTTTTCAGTTTCAATTAAGACACAGCAATCGACAGTTGTCTTTCACTCCGGCTGACTTCTTGGAGTGAAAATTTCTAATTTTAAGTTCACTTTGATTCCTGATTAAGTTTTCCATAGGCATCTACGACTGAAACTGTTTCGATTCGGAAATTTATGAACATTCTTACTTTATCTTCTTCCTGATTGGTCAATATCGACTGTTACTAAGATTGGTCAGTTGCGTTTAGATTGGCTGGCTGACTGTTATCACTAATTCGCATCATTTACGCTATCAGGCGTTACTGAAAAAAAAAAATACGTTAGTTGCACTGAGTAAAAAATTTTAGTACACTTAATCAGGCGTAAAGCGAACACACTTCAAAGGAAATAAGTAGAGTGAACGGATATAATGAAAAAATTCAGTGAACTAGGTAACATTCCACGATTAGACGTAGTGATCAATTCTTACTTACTATCTTTGTGAGAGAACGATTTACTAATGCACCCTAGTAGCTTTAATGCAGTTAATTGCATGTAATCTATCAGTGAATAAAATTGACTTGTGAAAATTCAGTCAAAATTGACATCTTACAACCTGATCTGTCATCGTTCCCTCTGTAAGCTGATTCGTCAGCCTAATTTACTTCAGAATTAAAAATTCCTTTTAATCTAATTTACGTCTGTTCGATCCAAAATAAGTGGATTTGAATTAGCAGGCAGAATGATGGCAAACCTTGTCCTTTTCTATGATAGTCTGTTCGAAATTGGTTACCTGATGAGAACTCTTTCAGTCTTGTAGTCTTTAACTTTGACTAATACATATATATATATATATACTAGGTGAAAAAACAAAGTTATTTGCTGCAATCATACTATTCATTTTCGGGTAAGTTATCAGAACTCAATTGGTGCAATATCCTCGAAAGCTGAAGTATCTTACTTTGAGGCACTCTTCATCTAGATGCCCATGCAAACAGGAGGAAATTCAGTGTTCACCAGACAGTTCTAATATGAATCTCTCCATGGTGAAATCTGTTATTTGAATAGCTTACTAATAATGAAATTCTTGTCAATTGACTAGTAACACCTGGCATTAAGACGATAAGTGAATTACAGTGTAATAAACTGATACATCACTTATTTTAATGACTACATTCCATATTTCTTCTAGATTGTCGGTCCTACAGGTTATTGATAATTTCAAAAAAAAATCCACGACTTAACTTACAGTGTGACAGACGCTAATGCACATCAGATTATGATTATGAACTTTGAAGTATTTATTTCGTTATGCTCTCTACACATGCATATACTTATATCTTTTTTCTGTAGGTATTTACGCTGGAGCTTGGTCAAAAGGATTTCGTCATGGTCTTGGTGTTCGCAAATCATTTATTAGTTATAAAGCAAATTCATTCTCTGATAATTCAGTGGCTAATCTTTCACCAACAAAATGTAGCAATGAAGATGTGTTGTGCACCAGCAGTGGAGTTAGTTGTGGCCCTTGTAGCACTTTCCCCACTACTTCCAGTGATGAGAATAAAAAGATTCCCTCCACTAGTCAATCGCCTGTAACGTCAGAAAAACGGCACAGTTCTACTGCTAATTTACCGTCAAATGAAACAACATCAGTAAGTCGTAAAGCAGTAATTGGTAGAGCGATAATGCGTCGATTGAAAAAGCAACATTCTGCTATCGAGTTGGGCCGTTCAACAACAACTCAGCCTACTACTGTAAATGGAACAGCGGTTTCTAGTACTCCCAAAACGTCGCCTCCTAGAGTAAAGCAGCCAATGACATCAGGTGAAACATCCCAGCAACAAAGTTCAGGCGGTTGTATAAATTCATCCGGTGGTGAAAAGACTGACCATCCTGAAGTTGAGAAGGATAAAGTGATTAGTGTTGTCGAAATATATGCTGGTGAATGGTTTCAAGATCAACGATCTGGATATGGCATAGCTGAACGCTCCAACGGTTTTGTTTATATTGGTGAATGGACTAGAAACCAAAAACATGGTTACGGAATTATAATTAACCCAAATGGTACACGTGATGAAGGACAATTTCAAGCAAATAATTTAGTTAATAAAGTAAACCGTAAGAGCAAATTGCACTTGGTGCGTCAAACAAAACTAAAAGAATGTGTAGAAGATGCTCTCTTTCGGGCTGAAGCAGCAGCAAAACAGGCCAAACTAGTAGCCTCTGAAGAAGCAAAAGAAAGGTTAGTGATTTCAAGGATGGTCTTTGGTGTTTAAAATGATGTACAGCCTTTGTTAATAAAACCTAGGCGAAGATATTTCATACTTGAATCAACTAACTGGCGATTTGATGAATTAACTTTCTAAGATCTGTGAATAATGTACTACGCCTGTGCATACTTCCTTATAGTAAACCCGGTGATCGTTACTGCAACTTAACTGTATTTCACTGTAGTATGATGAAGCATATGAGCTTTTTATGCTTAATCAGAAACATTTCAACCAATCAGCAGTGTTTTCCCGCCTCAAAATGTTAAGATGAGCGTCAGGTGGTTGTTGAATTCGTTTAAGTAAGGGCGCATCTACCGTTAAAATTAATCAATTCGTTTTAGTAAATCAAACTTTTCAAACCACTCAAAATCTAGCTAGCCAAGTGATAGGCTGTCAGGCTTTCAAAAGATCCCAATCTAGTTGAACAGGAGCGTAGATCCATGGGATTTGTTTTCAAATAATCGTAAGAAATAGTAGTATGTACCATATAGTTAATCTGAAGTAAATAATGGATAACGCGTAATTCCACTTTTTTTTTCTTTCAAAATATATTTTATACAATGAAACGGTAGGCATCACCAAATACTTTGAGCCTAATTTGTTTTTATTTACATTCATATTCACTGTCACTGAACAAGTACAGCTATTTCTTAAACTTTAGTTTGGCACAAGGATTATCGCTTCATGATGTTGATGACTTCTACTGATAAATATCGTTCTAACATAAAAGTCGAATTCGGGTACTGTGGTAGGCGAGTTCATTTGATATAACCCACAGTGATGCAATACTAATAAATGTGCTGAAATCCCCAAGTTCATGGCACCTAAACTCAGTAGTAGACAGAATCCAATTCACTTTTGAGTTAAAAAGTGAACAAGGTGAGTTGGCCATTCTGGACGGTAAATTTAAACGAAAACAAGATGGTGGGCTAGATACAAGCGCTCACAGGAAACCGACAAATTCTAATTAATACTTGAACTTTAATTCATCCCAACCAGAATCAGTGAAGGTAAATTTAGTTAAATGTTATTATCATCGCGTCAGGAGACTAAATAATTAGTCAGAAGATTTAAATAACCAAATTAAATAAAAAGAGAAAACTATCCACCAGAATCCGTGGAAATGTGTATCAATACCTTTTGAAAAATTAAAAATAGTATTGAGAATTATGAAAATAACATAAATAATATGAAATTCAACACACTGTAGCAGTAATAGTGAAGATTTATAGCTCAGGTGGATGATTTGCAATTAATAGTTTTCTCTGAGCTGGTTGGTTTAGTTGCGGAGCTTTCGTCGTCCTTCTAGACAACATCTTCAGCGCATTATTGAGCATAAAGTGAAATGATGTAAATTTCTTCATGAGTGATATAATTGCGTCTCCTGGTAACCATCTTTACATATGTATTGACCATTTTCTATTGACTTGGATTTTAAACTTTCTGGTGACCTGATTTACTTTTTATTAGTTGGTATATTTCGTCTATACTAACGTGTTTGTCAATTGCATTTTCGTTTAAGCTCCAGGCTTCTAGGAATTCCCTAGGAATTAACAAACACGTTAGTATAGACGAAATATACCAACTAATAAAAAGTAAATCAGGTCACCAGAAAGTTTAAAATCCAAGTCAATAGAAAATGGTCAATACATATGTAAAGATGGTTACCATAAGACACAGTTATATCACTCATGAAGAAATTTAAATCATTTCACTTTATGCTAAATATTGCGCTGAAGATGTTGTCTAGAAGGACGACGAAAGCTCTGTAACTAAACCAACCGGCTCAGAGAACACTATTAACTACACTGTAGCAGTACCATATAGAAAAGGAATACCAGAGGCCCTATGTAGGATTCATAATAAGGCTGGTATTCGATTAGCATTTAAACTAGCCGCCTAAGAGATTAACTATGTTGGCTCAAGGACCTGATAGATCAGATTAATAAAGTTAAATAATTTACTTAACACCATATAATGACTGCGATGTCAGTTACATAGGTTAAACTAACAGATCGGGGCCATTAAGATGATAGGAACATATAAATTTGCCCAGACCCAGAATAATTGACTTCACTAAGTTAAATAATCTGCAGAAACAGCTCTTCCATTGCAATGCATTCTTTTGCATGTTATCACACTATATTGTGGGATAGGATAAGAATATTAAAAAAGCACTATAGCTGGAGAAAGATGTCAATCACAGAAACTTTGTTCACCGAATCAATAGTAAACACGTGCAGTCGAAATGACACAGCGTCTATACCGAATATACGGAGAATTTCAATAAACGACAAAGAGGAAAGAGAAAATATATAAAGCTAATTGTGAAGCTGTGCGAATAAACTGATATGATTTTGAACAATAAGCTGTGCTGAAAACGTCATCTAGTTATTATTAATGTATCATTGTGAGTTATATCAAGTAAATTTTCTAGTATGGACTTAACGTCCTAAGTGACCACAGAAATAAGGATTTGTTGACATACAGTAATTCACTTGGTAAAAATTCAAAGTCTTTTTATTTAAATGTAATATATTCATTTCAAACGAGTCGGGGACACATGGGTAGAATGCTCGGCAACCACAGAAGTGACTTAGGGTTCGATTCCCAGCTGATGCAATCCGAGACCTCGCTAAGGCAGTAATACGACTGGTAAAGAGGGAAGGTTGATCATGATGAGGCTGGCAGCCCCATCCAGTAAAAATAAACACCACTGCTACCGAAACCTACTAGAAAAGGCCACTTGCTCAAATCAACAAGATTTTATACTTTCAGGTTGACTTGAGAAGTACCAATATATGTGGAGTATGTTGAGTCAGTATACGACAGGAAGACTGTTTTCATCCGCTTTCAAAGTTCAGAGGCACTCTAGATGCACACCCCTTCTTTGGAGGGTTAACTTTTAACAAAAATTATGACCATTAATTTTAATTTTTACTGGTCCAATAGAAATATGTAGGGCTATCAGTCGATTGACACCTAATATCTAACAAAATGCAGTATGTTAGTAGACAGGCGAACTTCTCACTTGCTTCAAATAATACAGTATTAGAATACCACTTTAACAACTCACTGACATCTTAATTTGTCTACAGAGAAACCGTCATGATAATCGTACACCTTATTTCAAGTTATCTGATTCTATCCTCTACAACAGGACTATTTCATTTGATTTTCGAGTAGATGGTCAAAATGCCTAACAATTCTTTCAGGGAATGAAGTAAGTAAATATTGTAAGGAGAAACAAGCTTATCCTAACTTACTACTGAGCGCTATAGGATAATGTACTAACAAGATCAAGAAACATTTCACACTTAATTCAGTATGTAACCGGTTAAAGTTATCGTTAGTTAAAAGTCTTGTCAATAAAAAATCATCAGTGCTTTAATTCAAATATCAGCAGTAAGTAAAATTGTCAGCTAAAATATTATAAGTGAAAATCCTCTTTCTGTCAGTGACAAATATGAATTCTGACAATGAACAGAGAAAAATTACTGGACTTTTCAAAAGTAAAACTGTCCTCCTTTTATACTACTCATTCACCTGAAAGCGATTGAACCATTTGATTTATTTATACTTCAACTCTAATTTATGTCTTTCTAGTGAAATTCATGTAAAAAATAATTTTTACTTCGAAGAACTAGGCCATATCTTTAACTAAATCCCACTTCTAACACTTAAATAATACTATTCCTTCTTTCCATGACTACTTTACAGAGCGTTAAAAGCGCGTAAATCCGCTGAATTAGCAATGTCTATCATTCAGAAAGCTCTCCACTTATCTGACAAAGCAAGAGAGTTGGCTTTTCAACTTGATCCCCAGTTTCATCAACCAGGTAAGTTTAATTCCCATAAATACTCTAATATTACCCCTTTTCTAACCATTTTCTAGTTGAATTATAAATTAGTTTCTACACTCAGAGTCAGGACAGATAAACAAGAATTGGTATAGTAATTTTTTAATAATCCTAAGGGCGAAGTTCAGACACAGAAGCTGCTGATTTCGGAAACTCAAAATGCAACTAGTTTACATTATACTTGATGGAAATGCATACCACATTTTAAATGAGACTACACTTAGTCAACTATGTGAAGTCAGTCAGTGCTACTATACGGATCACAGACTTGCACTGCGCGTCATGAAGAGCATCTCAAACAAACTACAGACCTTCATTAACAGTTGTCTTTGCTCAATACTCAAGATCAAATGGCCGGTTAGAAAAGATCAGCAACAGGGAGAGATCTCTGGGAGCGAACCAACGCAGCAGGAACCGATTGTGAAACAAATAGGCAGGAAGAAATGGAGATGGATTGGCCATATTCTGAGGAAACCATCAAGTGACATCACTAGACAAGCCATTGCTCGAGTGGAACCTGAAAGGGAAGCGGCGACTTGGTCGTCCAAGGGTGACTTGGAGGAGGTCATGTGAAGAGGGGATGAAAGCGTGTGGGCAGACTTGGAGCCAGGTGAAGACTCTAGCAGTGAACCGAACGCAGTGGAGACGCACGGCTGAAGCCCTATGTTACTCTAGGAATTAAAGGATACAATAATAATATAATAATACAACTCAATGAGTATCATCATTCAGGTCTTGTTAGTCGTGAAGACTTAAGTAACTTTTTTGTTGGATGTTAGGTAGTAACCTGTGCTATGCATCTAGTTCTTTTTTTGTATAGACTGGATTCTCTCCATCAAGTTTGCAATGGGGGCAACATGCTAAGTGACTCGCCATTACTGTTCACTGCAAATTGTTGATATTAGATGGTTGGAAGCAATGGGCTGGAAGTTTCAGACTTAGGTTTCGTGCTTGTTGGTACCCATCATCAGGGCGTAGTAGCAGTCTTGAAGGAGTTCATATTCCTTCTGAGATTTAGACCAGCGTCACCAAGCCCTGCAGTCAGAAATGTCACTACTGAGGTGTTCATGTTTACTACTGACCTCCCGTAGGACTTTACTGGATACTTTGATTGTACGCCTTGATAATGACTGCCAACAAACACGAAATCTAGGTCCAAGGGTTCCTAATGATTGCCTTCAATCACCAAATAAGTGACTTTTTAAATGCTTATTCAAATAGTTTTGCAGTACTCGGGTGTTTCTTTCCTAACCTTCGGCATGTGGTTGGTACACTGCGAACAGTTGTAGAAATGAGAACCTCACAGGTGAAAAATTGTTATTTGTTATAATAACAAAACTGTATTCTCGATACTTATTTCTTATTTCGGTTTTTAAATTGATTGTAGAAGTTACTGTAGAATTTTCAAACTTATTACAACTTTTTGTTTTAAGGGGTTGAATGGAGGAAGAAATGTCAGTTTGAAATTAATACCACAGACGATACAAACGAATCGAAACCTTCAACACTGTGTTTATCAAGTTTAAATCTAAATATATCAAGTGACACTTCCCCTACAACTTCAAGCGTGTTTCACAGTCAGTCAAATGTATCATCCCGCTTAAACGATGAAATCAGTCATCAGGTTCGGGAACAAGGATACCAAGAACGACGGCAAGTCACATCATCATCGGCACGTTCTTCCTACAGCACACAAAGTCTAAAATACCACCAAAATTATCGTCATCCCCAGATAAGGAGAAAGTTTTTCCGCAAATTTCTATCACGTGACTCCACACCAAATTCAGTCGACCCTCTGGATGAGTCATCTACTGATGCGTTTGAACGTTTCGCTAACTTCAACAAGCCAAATGTCTATCGATTTATCAAACCGACTGCTGATGATGTAGCTGTCGTCTCACCTCTGGTTACATCTAGTGAACTAATTCGTCCTTTCTCTGCACCACATAAAACATTTATGAATGAATTGAAAGTAGAAAGTTATTCACCGAGTGACAGAACAATTTCACCTCTGAAAGAAGTTTCCAATGAAGACATGGAACAGAAAGGCACACCAACTGAAAGAAACGTTGATACATTTAGTAAACAAATGAGTTTATCCGCTGGTGATCTTGTTGGGCTGTGCAAAGCATCTATTGAGCCATCCTTAAGCAATTTAGTAAGTGTTCACCTACATATTTTTGTGGAAAATAAAATAATACTTTGTTCTACAGGCTTTGATACAACTCACTGCAGCACTGTGGCCATTTTGGTGGAAAAATAAGTAGCTTGTCTAAATCGGCTTGACATAGTATTTTAGGCGTGTTGTCCATTTAAAGAAATGGAGGGAATATAGTGAGATTTAAAAAGCATTTCCTTTTCAACAGAGTAGGAGTTTGAGTAGACTCTTAGGAGGAGGGGGAGGAGTGTTAGTAGTAATAATAGTAAAGTTATCCATTTTAGATTACTAATATTGAACTGTAGATTTGAATAAATACGCTGTCAAGTGCTCCTACTAACTCTACTGTTGCATAGAATTATGACCATCGTAACTTTTTTATCACTTAAACACTAAATAGAGTTAAATATGGTTCACAATGGTAAATATAATATGCACTTGTCATAAACATACTTGGTTTCAGTTTTATTTATTACTTACTAGTGTAATTTATGCTTTTACAGGGTAGCTTATCATCTTACCGCCAAGAGGTAAAACAGTTATCGCCCTATCTAAAGTCAACCAACCCCTGTAGAAGTACTTCTGAAAGGCGTATTCCCGTCTCCATAAATACTGATGACGCGAAAATCTCTTCTACCTACTTGACTGCTGTACCTGGCACCACTTCATCAAATTCTATGGAAAGTGTTCCTAGGAATGATGCATCAAATGAAACAGTGGATATAGTTAAAATTGAAATTACTGACCAGCCAGTTAGTCAGCTGCAGCCATCGAGTGCAAGACAAGAGGCAACTGAAAGTCACTTTGTACGTAAATGTCGATCTCCACAAATTGTACAATCAAAAAGAATTGGTGCAGGATATTTAAAAAATACCCAGCATCCTCCAAAGCTGGGTATGAATTCCACTCAAGATTCGGGTTACCTCTCAATGGATCCAAGTGAATCACGTTCATTTTCAATACAAACTCTTAACAGATCTATGTCATGTCAAGCACCTGATGCAATTGTCGAATCAGATGACACTGATGAACACCAAATGTTATCGAAAAATATCCGTTCAAAAGTTGAACCTGCGAACCTACCTGTTAATATACCTGGATATAAACTGTCTGTACAGACAATGCCTATGTCTGACCCCACAAAATTTAACAGGTTAACTCCAGTGAAGTCACCTTATGAATCATCAACGTTTTCACTATCTCTATCTCCAAAAGCAAAAAAACTTAAAGTACAAACTGAAGAAATTCCGTTTAAACCAGTGGCAAGAAGACAAGTGATAACTGCTAGACGGAAGTTTTCAAATAGCCCTAGGAGATGTTACAAATCGGATGGGTAAGTAAACGTGCAAATGTAATGGCAGTATGAAGTATCTGTTATAAATCGTTCTTAGAACAAGAGTAATTTCGACGAATCACTGTTTTTAATAATTTTATCTTTAGGCTCTATAGTTTCAAATCCATCAGTGTTTAAATACAGTAGCCAGTAAAGATAAGTAAAAGTCATACCATAAACCTTATTAGGGTATAAGGCATTAGATGGAATAATAGACCATTGGTTTTGATTGTCAGTTAAATGCATATAAAACATACAGTCATTAAGAATACGTAAAACATTTTTTTGAAACTATGTTCCTGATGTCTGCATATCTTAAACTGTATTTAACTGACAATCAAAACCAGCGGACAATTATCATACCTTATGACTTATACCCCAGTACTTTATTGCCTATGTAGCTGGTTTTGTAGCCGTAATGCCTGAAGTGAAAGTTATTGAAAACAATGCTTCACTGATATTATTCTTTTTCTGAATATTTTATGGGAATATTTATGTTGTTCTTAGTCAGTCATCAAGGAAACCTGCTTGACTCAAATTTAGTGTTCGTTGACAAAACTTTTCTTAATTTTAGAGACAGTGGTTTCTCTACCCGTTATTTGATGGAAGCGTCGACTACTTTATTGAAACAGTATGAATAATTTAGAATTTTATTTATAGCTGTCAGGACTATTTAGATTTCTCATTAGCTCTTAACTGTCACCTCGTATAGACCAGATGTATAAATGCTATTGCCCTCTCACTTTACATCACGTTTAGCTCATATCGTTGGCTGCCTATTATATTAATAGATCAGAAGGCCATTGGAACCCTTCTAATTCATTCATGCATCATTAATCTGGTTAACTCGGTAATAAATTTAGTGTCTGACGAACGGAAGTCTATCAAAAAAGTGATTAAAGGCTTGAAATTTCATTCATTTGCAAGAATGACAGTTTTGTAGCATGGCACTATTTGACTCTGCTTTCATCTATGTGTAGGATCTGGTTTTGACATTCACTATTATGTCTTCTGCTAACAACAAGGTTATGGACCCACGTAAATTTTCACTGTTTTTGAAAATTTGTGAGTCCTTTTTCAGATGCCTTTCTGAAATGTATAGACGCAATACTCTGGCTTCTGGAGAAAATAAAATCCATGATTCATTGAAGTGATTATTTTAGCGAATCCACTTAATACTTCTTTACACTTTGTTTCATGAATTCGTGAAGTGGTTTTCGCCTTTAGCAAATTCATAGCAGTAACCCGTGGAATATGCGCACTTTTGTTAAGAACTGTCAATCAACAGCTGCAATGGCTCCATACTGAAGGTCAAATGGCCGGTCAGAAAGAATAAGCAACAGGAAACTCTGGGGACTAACCAATAAATAACCTATTGCTCAATAAATATGCCAGAAAAAGTGGAGGTGGAATGGACACACTCCGAGAAGACCACTAGGTGACATCGTTCATAAAATCATCGGGTGGAATGTGAATAGGAAACGATGAGTTTAACGTCTGAGAGTGACATGGAGGAGGTCATGTGAGGAGAAGGTGACAATGGGCAATCGTGGGGCCATCTGAAGAGGACTGAAGCAAACAGGATTAAATGGAGATGCACTGTTGAAGCTCTATGTTCTACTTAGAACCCATGGGAATAATAATAAATAATACTGTTAATCAAAATGTAATGGAGTTATAGTGAAGGTAAATAACTACAGTTAGGGAGTTAAATAATAAGATAAACACATCAGTCAGTAAATTATAATCAAAATAAACATAGTAACAGAAAAAGATGATATTGCGCAAAAACCCAATGGAACAAAGGAAGCAGAAGAACATTTCATTTTATTAATAATTCAAACATAAACATATCATGACTGTGAAAAGGAAACTAAGTTAACTATTTTCCTCTGTATATAAAGATACTGCTGTCCCCATTTCGAAGGCTAAAGCTTCACTGATTTTGGTAAGTCAAATGGACAGCATTGACAATGAGTCCAGTTATTACACCTTTTATAGAATAACCTCAACATCTTCGTGGCTACAAAGAAGTAGGTTTCGTACCCCATAATCAGGGGTCTAGTACACCCAGATCCATGTGAGTAGAAGCTTTAATGAATGTCTCTTCTAGGAATTTTGGGATCCTTCTTTTAAGGATGTCGTAGCTAGGTTACCACAAGATTTGAAGTTCATATACTGCATTTTCGTCGATACAGAAGATGGGTCACATTTTGTAAACTGTGAAATGGGACTTTCTTAGAAGATTCAACTCTTCTTCCACGACATCAGGGTTGTGTATACTCTGAATGGGAGTAGTGACTTATTTATTCAAGTTCCACTCTTATCTAATAGGTATTCAGCTATTCGTTACTTAGAATTTATGCATTTTAATAAGTTTGCTTAGACAGGGGAAACATATCGTAAAATTATGTTCTGTGTCAAACTTCAGCTCACTGACAAATCGGGGTCACAGCTTTTGCTCATTAGCCCAGTGTATTTTCATTTAGTTATGGTTATGCTTGGCACTGGGTTCGAGTCCATTTAGGGGCATAAACATGCATGTAGGAGCATACAAATGGATTTACTGACAAGTAAAATCTTTCATTATTTGTTGCCTTCATTTCAATTTAATACATCACTGAACAGAAAGCATACAGAACAAAATTTTATTGTTTCCCATTGGAATAATGTAATTAGCGAAGAAGGAATTTTCGTTATGTGAGACCAAAAATCTGTTGAGACATTTGTTGTCATTGTTGGGGTTTCATATTATGCATCAACGAACTTTCAGGCCTTTAGTTTATATACGCGTACATTTATATCCTATTATATAGTATTACATTAAAACATTGCAATGCCTGAATGCTTGCTTACATCTAGCCTAAAAGAAGTTTAATTAAATCAATTAATCTTAGTGATTATTTTGCAAACATGATTATGTAAGTTGTGTGTGTGTATTTGTACATGTGAGACTTCAAGCAAATAAGAAGTACAACAATTGAATAACCATTAAGACGATAAAATTAGAGAAGAATGAAAGGGGAAAAAATGGGTACATCCGTAGGAATTCAATCTTAATATGTTCATTGTTTTATTCCTACAAAAAGCATCCTTCAGATAAAAATGCACACAAACAGAGAATCTCATGCCCACATACACATACATGTGGAAGTCAACAGACACACACACACACACAAAGAGGTGAGTAGAAGACAGTGAACACACTTAGCCGTATAGACTCACATGAAAGACGAAAACTTATGAATGCTTGAATAGAATAGGTTCATCGGAATCTTTTATAAAAAATTACCTAATCGAAAAATAAACACACCGTATTTTTGTTCGTTTTTTGCAGGAAATATTAATTGTTACTCTTGTTGTTGTTACCGCTTGTTCTGTTACTGCTTCTGTTCATATTATATCATATTTTTCCTCTTTTATTCTTATACATAAAACTGCAATTAATTTTTACATTTGGCCATAGAGAGTTGCATGCATTTATAGAGTAGTTAGTAGTAATGATGATGATATGATCTGTTTCATTTCCAACTGCTGATTTGCAGATTTTACTGTCTTACTTTTTGTTTTAAAAAGTCTCCTTTCTATCAGGCGTAAAAATTATAAATATACATATGTAAACTTTGAACAGTTGTGTACATCTGATACAACAGATTAGTTGAATGTAATTGAAAAACAGGACAGTAGAAATGGCTGAAAACTATATAAACCAGTTTACAGATCTTATTTTACATTACAGGGATTGGTTCTACCGTCTGAATTTGATTATATCAATTTTACAGTTGAACAGATTTAAGAATTCAGTCACATTTAAGAGATATTAGAAAAACAGTATAAAATTTAAAAGCAATGTATAGTAGTGTTCAGAGACAACACTGAATACCTAACTTGCTTGTCTTTGTTAATGAAAATAGGAGTAGGTATATTGGTAACTATCTACCAATTGGCAGAAGTTAGAATTCACGCGATGGCCATTGGAATGAGTCCCTGTGGCTTAATGATGTGCGAGGTAGCTAGCCTTGCAACCGGAAGGTCCTGGGTTTGAACCCGGATTGTGCCGGTGCGTACTGATAAACAATCCCAAACTAGGAAGAAACAACTGTCCAGTACTCCCAGGTTTTCCAATCGTACTGTAAACAATCCCAGCTAATGATGAAATCCTCCATCCAATCAATTCTATACTTAACATACACATTTCTTTATTAGAATCGGTAAACTTTTAAGATCTTTCAAGATCACAATTATTATGATTACTGTTCCACTCACATCCTAACGAAATACAGGCCTAAACAACATATCTCCACTCTGTTATATTCCCTGCCAGCCTGCCGGCCGGCCGGCCATTCGATGTTCAGTATGGAGCCAGACAGCCAGCCAGCGAAGGGGGCTACTCATGGTGAAAGTCTGCAGTATCCTGGTGGAAATCCATTCGTGATGTACACGCCAACATTCTGACGCGAATAGAAGCACTTACTCACTAACTGACTAACTGACTGACTGACAGACTTCACATTGGTGTTGAAAATCAGAATCTCTCTCTCTATTCTGGCTGAGTGCAGAACATTTCCTAACTGGTTTCAGCTTGATGAAGGCGTATCTTGCTTGCCTTTCCGATACTGGTTGGCTTCGACATCTTCACCCGTGTCGTGTACCACCTGTAGTTGAAACGATGCTTCCCTCCCAAATAATTGAAGGAAGTTACTTCTGTCAAGTTTCTCTCGTTGATCGTGATTGGTGCTATTTCTTGTTGTTGTTGTTGTTGATGATGATGATGATGATGATGATGACAGTGGTTGGTTGGTTGGTTATCTTCATCACCTCCGTCTTCTCTATGTTCACCTGCAGTCCTGTCTTCGCCACCCGCTTCTTCAGCCACTTTGTTGCTTTCCACCTGCAAGTCTTCGAGTTTGTGTGACATTAGACATATATCCTCCACACACGAAATCCAGATTTCCTGGAGTCTTCTTATCGGTGGTCCAGCGCATTCCTGTCTTCTTACTGCCCACTCTCAGTCTGATGCATAATCCAATCCAACACAATTGAGAATATCATCAAAATCACACCAAAATGGTTACTACTGCTTGTATACTGAGGATTTTCAAAGCAATCATCCCTTTATTTTAGATTTAACTGTTGGATGCACGGCGTGCAAATATTATGCATCAAAATCGACATGGTGACTGATATTGAACGCACCTTGCGGCTCACTTCATAAAATCATTTATCCAAATAATATCTGAGTATACTAACATAATTCATAATGCTTATAATACCACAATCTCCAGGCATTAACTTTAAAATAAACGTCACTAAACACTACTTTCAGTTCAGCATTCATTCATCCTTTTCTTATTTTCAATTTGACACCGGCTTTTATGACATTCATGTATAAGCTAGAATTCTGTTCCTTGTTAAGTAGTAAAATTTCATACTTCAGTGGTCCATTTGATACAGAAAATATGTGACATTTTGGAGGGGACTTTCCAAGGACAGTTTGCTTTTTTGTAACCTCACTACCACTCTGAAATGTGGCTTTTATACTTTATGTATTTCTCATTCTCTTATTTTAACTATACAATCTTGTAAGACCAGCATTACAAATTCTATCGGGGTCTGTAAGGTATCTGGAGTGTAGATTTCTAGATCACTCTTATGCTGCTCTGATTAGTAGTCATGTACTAATGTATGTACGTGGATGGAAGGTTCTATTTCTGATATATGTTCATCGGGTCACAATGTAACGCATACGAATATATGCAAATATAAATACAAAACACATACAAGCATTTAAACACTGCGTTTAATTATGTTTTTCTCTTTCTAAAATCTGTAGTTCTCTCCTGTACGGAGTTTCTCAAAGACCAGAGTCTTATTCAAGTCAAAGATATTGGGTACCAGACGACGCATCGCTTTATCCAACTGAACATTATGAACAAGATGATTTTCGGTTGAGGCAACTTAAACCACAGATGGACTTTGCCGGACAGTATTCGTCCCCATCGAGAAATACTAAATTCTTCCACCCATACATAGCTGACACTGGTGGAGGTGTCTTTGCCGGTGGTAGTACCCAGGATGTTGAAAGCGTCAGTGAAAAATCAGAATTCAGTTCAGCAACTGTTCGGTCTGCTCCACATTTTCAAAGTATGCATACAGATTTTCAGTTGAATGAATTAGGTCGGTTAAAATCAAGAGAATGGCCTATGGATATGCGGAAAGCTTACTGTACACAGCAAAGTAAATTAGGTCATTGGGACTACTCAGCTCCGTATGATTGTATTCAGCATCAGTTGCCAGCATTTTATGCTGGTGATGACGGCACGGGTCCAGTGTTATATGAACAGTCTTTGATTCAAGGGGATCGTCATTCATTGGATCGCCATGTATCACAGGTAAGTAACAGTGAAAAATACCTGTAGTTTACATAAACCTTTAAAAAATATTAGTTTGTGTGTGTCCAGAATAAAGGCTGATTTAAAATAACGCAAAAATTTGTTGCTCAAGGGGATTTTTTTGGTGTGGCTTTGTTCGTGGCGTTGGGTGATTTAATTGCAAGGCTTTCACTGTACTTTGAGACAACAGCTTCAACGCTTACTTCATTGTGAACTGAGTTTTATGCAATTCCCATGAATGAGACTACTCTCTCTCGCTCTCTCCTGATAACGCTGGACAATACTAGTTTTCTTGAGACGCTTTATTGTCCTTGTGTTAATTTTTGCCAATAGTGGTCGTTTTACTGACCCAGGAGTTACCCTTTTGGTGAGAATTCCTTGAGACCAGCTACTCATATCACTGTTCACTCAGCAGACAGTGACAGATCATACTAATCAACCAATAAAAGACAATTCACGTGGTGAAATTTACGAAAAGATGAAACTCCATATCACTGAAAAGATGGATATTAATAAAAATTAACATAAGGATAATAAAACATCTGAAGACAGCCAATATCGGCCGAGATCATCATCATCACCAGAGAGAGAGAGAGAGGGTTGTGCCATTCATGGTGAATTACGAAAACTATCTTCACATTGAAGTAAGGTTTGAAAATGTTGTTTAGAATGCAAATGGAAGCTCTCCAACTCAGAGAATTCAACGACAAATAAGGCCGACTTACTAGATTCCATGATTATGAAATATAATAACTTTGCGTCATCTGAGATGTAATAGTTGATACCTATAATATCCTCAGTCTACAGACAAACCAAGTTTATAATTGTGATGACATTTAGGATTATTACAGTGACAGCACCTTACAGATAACTCATTGAGTTTAAGTAGAACATTTAAGTTTCCCGCCCAACTTTAGCTGATAAGTGAAATATTTTTAAAATCAAATATGTATATATATAATGGCTATCCCTATGTAGGCTTATTTTCATATTTTTTCTATGCTTCGAATTTCCTCTAGCTTTTAGATTAGTGTTTCAGGGTAGGACTGACAATCCCACTCCCAATCTTCCCTGTTCCTCTGGGCTGAAGGTCAACTAGTAAACTAGGTGAAGTGGATTGGACACGTAGTGAGGGACCGTTGTGTGACATCACTCGCCAGACGCCTAAATAGTATTCGAATGGAAACGACGAGTTTAACGTCCGGGAGTAACATGTAGGATGTTGTGTGAATAAGAAATGGAAGCTTAGGGACAATTGTGATGTCAGATATAAAAGGCTGTGCAGGTCATAAAAATGGCTACGTGTTACTGAAGCCCTTTGTTCCACCCGGAACCCAGGGGAATCATAAGAGTGACATTTATTAAATAAGTTTCTGAATTCTTTTTTTCATTTGAGTTGCTGTTTATTCCATTATTTTCAGAGGTAGAATATTCATCTAAATATTTTCTTATTCCGTCAACTTTTATGGCCAAATTGCTTGCCTGTTTGATAGTGACACCTTTTGAAGTTCTCTATTTGTCTTTAAGTTGATCAAGACCTCACCAGTATTAGAGAGTTTTCATCCAATTAACATCTGGATCAAACCAATGCACAATTTAGACTGGGTCGGTCGAATGGTATGCACCAAAAGAATAAGTTTATAAATCACATCGCTAAAAGTGAAATAATAATGAAGTCGCCAAAATTTTGATTTATTTTTGTGTTTATTTTTGTGCTTATCCAGATATCCAACCAAGCATTTTTACAAAATCAAAGAACAATGAGTGATCGATTTACGCGAGCCCATACAAAACCATTTACAGCATATAATTCGAGTTGCTTTCATGGCTGGTGCCAAATACCAAGGAACAGAAGACTGCAGTATATTCCTAACAGAGTCCACAGCGCCTATGAAGATTTTGGGATTTTTGATAGAGATCGTTCTATGCCTACTGTCTACATGAAACAACAGAAACAGCAACAAGTTCATCAAACTGGAATTAAGGAAAATACTGTGACTGTAAACCCTCAAATAATTCATCTACGGAGGTCTAGTATAAACAGCCGTCGTTATATCAGTAAAATAGACACCGATAAATCTAGTCACCAAACGGACCATTCTATGCATTCATTTCATGCGTTACGTCATGATAAGTATTCTCAGCCAACGACATCATCACCAATGACACCTTCAATGTACTCTGTTTGTACTAGTGCTGTTTGTCCAAGTAAATATGTTTCAACACCATTGACAAGTGCCAGTGCACTATGGAGTCAAGTGAAAAATCCTTTCTGTATGAATAAAACATTGCATACAGGCTCATGGCATGAATTCCCAAAAAGAATCTTACGATCCACATATCCATATTGTATAACACATAGTTCAAACTTTCAGCAGTTTCATCGTCAGCAGAAGACTCCTCAACAAGAACAGTTTATGTCTAAATATTCAACATTCCCATTGAAAGTTAACCAAACAATGAACAGAAATGAAGTAAAATATTCCACACTTCCACCGGATAATTCAGTGTTTTTGAGGCGACCTCCTACGGAGACTGGCTTCAAGAAATTATTCACACATGACAATATCAGGCAGGATAATATTGATCTTGAAGGGGATGAAAAATGGTTGCGTAATACTGTACCGTCTGATGTAATCAATGCATATCCTAGTAGACAGGATCATTTCGATGGAGGAGTAGACTATGATGAGGATGACGATGAAGAGGAAGACGATGTGGATGAGTTAAAAGTCTGTGAAGAAACTGAAACTGTAAATCAACATCCACGTCGTATTAGTTGGCCCCAGACTCTATACGAATTCATTCCAGAAACACATTCAGATGACCATACTAACTCTAGTCAAACAATGACAAATAATGGAGTTAAACCTTCTGTAACGGATCCCTTACAAGCACCATCGGATACGAGTGGAAATTCAGCTATCCCTGTAACTGCAACACCCACAACACCAGTGAAAACTAATGGTCAAGTAAGTGAATAACGCTATTCAAACACCAATAATGTCTATGTAACTGTCAATTTTAAGTACAACAAAAACCTCTGAGATTCCTAGGGAAAGCTTTTTTCATCGATCGTCTTCATTTCACTGTCTACTAGTCTGCTTGGTTTAGTTTATCTTGTAGCGTTCTCAATTCCACTATGAATAGTGAAAAAGGATCTTTGTAAAAGTCTTCTTTATAGAAATGAAGTGAAAAAAGTCAAAGTGTATGGATTACCACGTGAATAAAAATTAGACAGGCTGTTTTATTTATTCCGCGAAGATCACTATTACATTAACGTCACTACGACTGGTATGACCATGCATATTATTATTATTCGTTTGAGTTCCGACTGTGCTTCAATACATCTCCACTCTGTTCTATTCCCTGCCGTCCTCTTCACCTAATCCAAGGATTGACCATAGTCACTCATCTCCTCCTCCCACTGTCTACTCCATATCAACCTGGCACTGACGACACACTTGTCGTACTCCATTACGTTCATCCGTGTCGTGTACCACCTGTAGTTGAAACGATGCTTCCCTCCCAAATAAGTGAAGGAAGTTACTTCTGTCAAGTTTCTCTCGTTGATCGTGATTGGTGCTATTTCTTGTTGTTGTTGTTGTTGATGATGATGATGATGATGACAGTGGTTGGTTGGTTGGTTATCTTCATCACCTCCGTCTTCTCTATGTTCACCTGCAGTCCTGTCTTCGCCACCCGCTTCTTCAGCCACTTTGTTGCTTTCCACCTGCAAGTCTTCGAGTTTGTGTGACATTAGACATATATCCTCCACACACGAAATCCAGATTTCCTAGAGTCTTCTTATCGGTGGTCCAGCGCATTCCTGTCTTCTAACTGCCTACTCTCAGTCTGATGCATACTCCAATCCAACACAATTAGGAATATTATCGGTGATGATAGACAGCCAGCTTGTCTTACTCCTGTATGCACTTCGAACGCCTCGCTGGGTTTTTGCTGAGTTTCCAATTGTGGATCACTTGACTGACACGTGGCGTTGTCATACAGCCAGCTATTGAATGAAGTTGATAAAGACTTGGGCATTGCACGCCGCAGTGTTGAGGCAGTTTCCAAATTACTTCTCGGTCAACACTGTCTGTTGAAGGCGTTTTCGAAGTCGATGAATTTGAGGTAGAGCTTTGACTGCCATTCTATTCTTCGTTTGATGACGATGCGTAGAGTTGCAATTTGATCAGGACATGATTCACCCTTCCTGAATCTTGATCATAGATACCTAACGGATACTTATTTCAGAATGACTTAAAGTACCTCTGCTGCTTAAATACGCCTCTTGATATTGATCCGACCTTCCGTATTCTACCATCACTTGCTTACTGAAAAGCAGTTAGTGAATTTAAGAATAAATGTCTCATATCAATGTGTACTCACCATCCGGATTTATCCAAATGTTCATTTGTGACACTGGTTATTGCAGTAGATTTAAAATCCTGCTTTTGATGCTGCAAATGCCACCACGTTATGCATCAAGCTATGAAATACTTAGGTCCTCTACAGACCACTGTTTGGAAACTCGTAGAGAAATAGATCTTAGTATCAAATTCAATCATAATTCTCTTACACTAAAATTAATGTTTGAATTTGAAACAATCTAACCAGGTTATCTAAATAACATGATAGATGTGTAGGACTTAGTGCGTTTGGAATGTTGTTTCACTTTTTATTAGGATTTATTTCCAGTAAGATTTCAAGGCTGTCTTTTGAATAGCGCGTTAGTTATTGTGACATAAAAGTTGGCATCTCAAGTACTTAGATGTACCATACAAACCTGATACCTTAAAATGATTTTCAAATGAATTCAGCTGTAATTATATTTTTCACTGACACAAAGGAATCTAACCGGCTTCCAAGACTTCTTCTTCTCAGAACAACTAGATAACGACAAGATGCGAACTGCATCAATTAATAACAAAAGTATTCGAAGTAACAGAACACTAAATTCAGTGTATCATCTGTGTAAGAACATGCTAGTCACGAGACCACGTATTCCAATATGTATCATCTCATAACATCACGAATGTACATTATAAAAGAACTTCAACTTACAAGAAAGCATACGTTCAATACTCTTTAACTTTCAGTGACTCTCACTTTTCTTTTGGCTTAATATGGTTAAACGACATCGCGTACTAGTAACAATTTCATATTTAATTGCATCAGCTAGAGTCAAATATTTCGTGGTGTAAAATATATAATAAAACTCTTCTACTGTAATGAAAACACGACTAGAGTTTTTAGACTCGAATGAGAAAAACACGGTAGATAAATAAGGGTAATTTAGACAGGAACCAATGAGCCATTGGGTACTCATCTATTGAAGCGATTACACAAAATCAATGGCTCCATTTTTAAAATTGAGAGATAATTCAATCCAGTAACAGTTTCATTAACGAGAAATCAACTCACCAGGAGACAAAGAGGGTTGTTTTACCTAAAACAATTAGTCCTTTTATAAATTTGGATAGTGTTATTAGAAGACGGAGATGTGATGTTTTGGGCAATACATTTCGAACAATCTAATCACTAACTTACTTCTCATGTCAATTAATATGAAAAATAAAGGACAGTTTAAATATACAAAGTGACAAAAAGGATTTAAGAAATAATAAGAATAGTTAACACTAGGTTTAGCTATAGATGAAGTCGGTAGTCTGCTACCTGTGTCTGTCGGCCTTCCAGAGTTCATCTGTTTTTCTAACCACTTCGGAATATGCTCTCCTACCCTCACATGCAAAGCGTGATTATTCCTCCCTATATATGTGTGTCCACAAACAAACATGTAAACCTTCATATAGTGTCGGTCGTACAGTGGTAGAATGCTCGCCAACCACTCATGTGGCCTGAGGTTCGATTCCCAGCCGACGCCCTCCTAAACCTTGCTGAGCCGGGGGTATGGCTGGGAAACAAGTGAGGTTAGGCGTGAGGCTAACCACCTCATTTTTTAAGAATAAACACCATTGCTACTGAAACTTCAAAGCTGTAGCTGGAAGCTCTATGTTCCATTGGTAACGTAAAGTGATAAAGTAAAAAGTAAAGTGGGATTTTACACAATCACTTGTGCACTTTTGAGGTTTGCAGTGGAGCATATTTTTGACTTTTTTAATAATTACAATTCAAGCTGCATAATAGGTTCTGCGGATGACTACGTTTAGTCTCTGAAAGTTTCAAAACCTTGCAATTTACTTCCCCGTTGCGTGGTAATTTAATGAAAACATCTTTCTTAAGAACATAATAGGTTGTTATATTTAAAACTAAATGACTTCTATACCGGTTTAAAAACTTATAAGTATAGCCGTTTTCAACAAGAGTGTCCATTAATATTTCATTTTTATCCTCTATAATATTAGTTGTACAGATACACTGAATTCTCTTGAATAAACACTTCACCAAGCCTCTTTTATACTGTAGTGGACAGAAGCTGTGAAAATTTAAGTATTACCCTGTTCAAGTAGGCTCACTGTAAATTGATTGTTTTATTGAACCACCGTCTCTCCGACTCAGAAGTATTTCTAAAAATGCAAGCTGGTTGCGACTTTCTTCCTCTCATATAAGATTTATATGATTATGTACGAAGTTAAGTCTATCCACTAGACCGATCGCATCCCCATGATCATCACATGTTAAAAAATATTGTCTACATATGTCCTATAAAAATGCACTTTGGTAATTAAATCAAGGGACTGGTTTTCAATATAAGACATATAAACATCCGCCAACAAGGGTCCTAATGGACTCCTCATAGCAATGCCATCCATTTGTCGAAATTGTTCACTTTCAAATGCGAAATAGACGTTGTCAGTACATAATAGTAAAAAGTCTTTCAAATAAGTTAAAGGAAAACAGGGAATGACAAACAACTAGAAAATATATAGTCATAAGGAATATCAAGAGTTTTAATCAATGGTACATTTGTAAACGAGGAATTAGTATCAAGATAATACACTTTCACATCTTTCATATTCATGTCTGCAAATCAACAGTCAACAAGTTCAAATGTATCTTTCAAAGAGAACTTACATAATTTATTACGTAATGGTTCTAAAATATCAGCTAACCATCTTGCCAATTTCTGTGTAGGGGAGTATCACATTGATAGAATTGGACAAAATGGATTGTCAAACCTATCAATCTTGGGTAACCCGGGGAGATTTCGGAAGTCAGATCCCCTGGGTTTCAACGAATTTGAATCTTGTTTGTCAGTCTCTGACGTCACTTAAATCATTTACTACATCTACAAACCTGACTGAGAGATGCCTATTCCACCTGTGTGCAAATTATCCCTTTAACAGATAAACCAGTACTATTTTTGTCTATCTGAAGAAAAGACTTCGTTACTAGCAAACACCTACTTTGAAACTATTGTTTCATCTTAGTTTATAATTTATGGACAGTACGCATTTTCTAACCCACATTGGTAAGAATGCGGAACTGTTAGATTGCAGGGGAACGAGTTACAGCTCACCTATTGTCCAGTGGTCTTTAGTTTCAGTGGTTTCGTAATAAGTTTTATCCCCAGTAATCAGTTGATAATATGTTTAAGTGATTGTGAAAAGAATGGTTCTGATGGAAGAAACCAACAGGATTACAGTTTCCATCTTACTGTTGTTTTTTAATAATTTCTGTTGGAATGAAGATTTACTGGAAATGGTGAATCGTTATTGAAATATGTTTGGCTAAGTAGACTGTAAATATTCTCCGGGCTAGTGACATGTTCTATGTGAAAACATATAACTATGAATATTAGTTTGTTATAATCACCGCTGTTATTATTATTATTATTATTTTAGATAAAGGTTACAAACTTACTTATTTCTCACAGTCAGATATCTTATTCAACATGTTAACCAGAAAAAGCTTTTCCTCTTTCAGAATTATTTTGCTTACTACAATCCATGGTACTCACTTACGTTAATGAATACTATAATTTTAACACTGGTCCTTGTTATTTCAATTGTCAATTGGTTATGGCGTGAAGAGAAACAGAAGAAGGCAGAAAGTTCCCCTTGATCTATCGGGAATTCAATTGAACAAGATGAATTTCCTTCACTTCACACTTCTTTGAAAAAATATCCACTTACATATAGCAGTATACACACAAGGAATACAGAAACCGTTGAATACTCCTTCTAGTTTGCTTGCTGTTGTTGTTTTTTTTTCTTTCTTTTGCTTTTTGTTCTCAAGAAATTATTAAAACAGATGCCAGAAGATATACGCATAACAATGTTGATCATTTCAATACTTCATTTCACTCACCTGTACTCAGTTATTTTGTAGGTTACCTATTATTTGATTATTGTACAAGACAAGCTGAAATGTAAAGAATGTGATAATGAAATCACAATATAATTTTTCTTTTTTCATGTTCCAGTTAAAGAAAATAAAACACTCATTGATTATTTAGTCTTTACCAGTTTGCCTACTTACAAAAAACAAGTAGTTGAGTTAACAGTGAATATGTTAATGTATACATATTTTGCTAACCTGCTTGTATATATTGGTTGGCATCATAAAAAAAACATATCAGACACCCTGAAGTGAATGTATCGAGATTCCAGTTCACACCTTGGGAACATAACCTATATAGTTACCCTGCTGCATACCACTACATGTCAGTAGAATTCTCCAATTATCAATGTTTGCTTAAAAGAATTAACTATAAGCAAACCTTCCAAAAGCACTGGATCCCATTCTTGCTTATTTCGCACATATTTACATAACTAAAACTGCATATAATCTGGTAAGTACAATGTGGAACACCATACTATATTATAAAGCAAAACATTTGTGAGATCAAACAAACAGTATGGGAAAGAAGGCCTAACGACATATGAAATGGAAAGGAGATCAATATATATGCGCTGAAGGATTAGAATTCAAGGTTGTTTCATGCTTGGCGTTTACATGGTGCTTATAGAATTCATTCTGTCGAATTTGTGTGATAACGCTAATAGTAGGCCGCCTTACACGACGTCATTTTCAACTTCGCATGATGTGTAAAGGATGACACAATATTAATACTTTCAACTCAGACACTAAACCGATAAACGTCAATAAGATAAAAACTCAGGAGTAGAGTTTTCTGTGTAAGGCTCTAAACTACTACAGTGGAGTTTAAACATCCCAATTATGGCAACTAAGTAACATACGACAAGTTAATATGTACGCTTGATAATTGCTCACCAGTCTTTACGGTTACAGATGAAAACTATTTTTTGCAGACACTCAATACCATTATGATAAACTAGCTTGAAATCCATTGAAGGGTATTCGCCTGCAATTAGATTGTTATTTTCCCGAAACAGCTTGGCAGTTCCGGGCATTCCAAACACAGTATAACCACTTATCGTCAGACAAGATGAATCCTTGAGAAAATTAGTAGATTGAATAGGGAGCTTATATAACTTAAAAATTGAAAAGAAGAAGAAACCAGATTGTTAATTCAATAAAAACGAGAAAAACTACGCATGAGGTTCATGAAGGTCAATAATGAATACCTCAGTGCAAAATAAACAGTAATGATTATACTTTGGTTGGACACTAGTAACTAGTGCCACGTGTCTAGTCCTTTCTTTGATGTAGACTGAATTCTATCAGTCAGGTTTGCAATATGGCCACCATTCTAGGTAGCTCCCCATCACAGTAATAATGGCAATAGCGAATGTTTGTGTATTCCAGCTCACTGTGAACATGTAAAAATACACTGTATTTTTTCACCGACAGAGAAGTAAACAATCGTCTCAGTCGTCGGAAAATAAAATATTTGATTAACATTCTTAATAAATTATGTAACACTAAAGATTCTATGAAAAGTAAACATACTACTAACAAAGGTAACAGTAATAAGGAAATAATAACAAAAATTAACCTGCCTAATAGTAATGGGAAAAAAAGTGATTGTAATTTTATGAGTCGAGTATAAAAGACATAGGAGAATAAGAAACCAAATGACATATTTTTTATAAACGATAGAAAAGATTATTTTTTAAACTGTCATTACAATTCATGGTAATCAAAAAGCGGACCAAATCATATAAGTGAATTGGCACTAAAAAGAACAGTAAAATTTGAATGTTTTCTGCAATGGCTGTCGATATCCATAGATTTTTGAGTACCAAGCTTTTGATTTAAAGTATTATGGTTTTAGCCGGCCGACCCAAACAGTGTTCAAAGTTTTCCAGTTAATTCTGCCCATTTAACTGTTAATACAACAGTAGTTAGATTTATTCATGCACATGGATGTCACCGAACTATCTAGTTGAATTCACACAAATTGGAGTGAATTTTATACAGTGCTGCAGCAAACAGCGTCCTATTGACCTTAAAATATAAGCACTCTGTGATACTTATTCGGCAGCCACATCCTGTGAAAGGTAAACGTTTCTTTGATTATGTAAACAGGTAATTCTTCTCAACTACTCACATCTTAGTCAGCTTTGTAAACTTATCCACTCAACAATTCTCGTGTAATTAGTTTTACTTTATGTTTTTCCGGTTAGAATCACCTTTACAGTTGACACTAAAGGTGATAACGTAAGAACATGCACTGTTTAAGCTGTGGGTCACAGTATGGCTGTAAATAAACAATTTTCAGTGCTATACAAAATGTGATGCTATCGAGCAGGTTTTCTTGTTGTTTTCAATGAGATTTTTCAACTCCAAAAAATTTTTGTATTTAGTCTAACGAGATAAAGTCCTTCTCATTGCTTCAGATGAGGTAAGAAAACATTCCGTCTAAAGGTTGCATGCGTTTACTGTTTTCTTATGCTACATATTATTATCAGATGTTTTTTAGACAATGACATTTGGCAGTGAATTAACTGAAAATGAGATAGACCATTTGGCAAGATCCCATAGTCATACTGAATTCTTCCACTGGAATTCAGATGATTGCCTCATTCGCTTACTTTGTTTTATTTCCTTCAGGTTCCCCAGTGAAACATAGGGCTTCAAGCTAGTGGCTTGAAGTTTCTGTAGCAGTGTTTATTTTCACAGGATGGGGTTGCTAGCCTCATGCCCAACCTTTCCTCTTCACCAGCGTTATTCCTGGGTTAATGAGGTAAAGGAGTGCGTCGGTCGGGGATCGGATCCCGGACCATGTGCATGGTCGGCGAGCGTCCTAACCACTATGCCACCGACGCACATTCGCTTACTAGATAACATAATAGTAACTTACATTAAGATAAAAGTGAAATGTGGAGTCAAGTAGATTATTGTTCAGTAACTCTAGGTGATACTTGTTCTGTATAACAAATTGATATATATATATATTGTTAAGTAATAATGATCGGAGCTGAACCATTAATTCATTAGGTTACTAATCCAGAGACAAATCACCTGATCTATAAGTGTCAGATTCCGAATAAGTTATAATTTATTACCTATTAATGAGTTTGTTATATTCAACAGTCTAATGAATCACTGATGCGTTACTGGTAGCTAGACATTGTCTCTCTAATCCATTACAGTTGGAATATGGAAAGAGGATGTGTCTAAGTAGCTAGTGAGACTATGAAAGCAGTTTACTTGGTGCAGCAGCTAGAAAAAATGTTGATGATCACTATGAGGTTAAAGGCAATGAAGCATCTTGGTTCCTGAATACTCTTAGTAGAACACCAGTCGTGTATCACAACCAGCCGTTTAATCGGATCATCCGGAGTGTTTACTGTAATGTGCATCCTCCTCCTCGTTATCAACATCATTTTCATACTGCACATGGGAATTTTTGTTTCCTTGGGGATAATGATAAATCTGTTCCTTAGCGATATAACTAATTCTCGGTAATTTGATTTACAATAAATAAATACATCGATACTAGACTAGACTACACAAGTTATCTTCGATCGAACAGGTCACATATCTCAATGGATTAACTACCTGTATAATGTCATTTTTCTTGAGACAATATAAGTTTCATTGACTTTCTTCAACTGGTAACGGATAATTTTTCAAGTGTGATGAACACACTTCATGGAACAAACATTTTAAGCAAAAGAATAAATAAATAAAACTGGCTAATAAAAACTTGGTAGCAGTAAATGCTAACCAACACCGACTGAAGTGCGGTCATAATTTCTGTGCAACTAGGTTTCCACTTAAATTAATGATGTAACTAGTTGATGAGTACCTACTCAGGTAAAGTAGGACTTCCACTTTATTGACTCCTTAAAGATAATGCGAAACTACAAAGCTCCCTGCAAAAGATCTGTACACAACCAACATCAACCTAAAATGCATCACTGTGGACAACCTCTTAAACTGGTAACCATATTGCAAGTTTTACCGATAGGATCCGACAAGCCAATGAACTAGATAGTGTGAAATCACCGGATTACAACTTTTTCCATAGGTACATCATTTAATGTGACAGTTATGTGGTACGTTGAATGAATAAGACTTCGATCAGTAGTAGGGCTTTGATAGTTATGTCGAATAACATATGATGACCTTTTTGCAAAAAATTACGTGTTCGATAAGCTTGGCTACCTTCATGAGTTCGAAAGAAACAAACGCGAATAGATTTGCCAAAATAAATAAATTCACTATACCTTCTATTATGTTTTCTTGTGAAACATAAATGTTGATTAGGTCAGATGTTTGAAAAGAGCTTGAAATTTGAAAAACTAGCTAGTTGTAGTCTTATTGTGATTAAGCATAATTGAATGGATTTTTCACGGACCATCCCAGCCAGGTGTGAAGACATGCAATCTCAGATGATAATAGATATTGTCCGCTTTATACTGAGAAGTAGATGAAATTCAAAGACATCAAAAATGGTCGACAACAAAATGGTAAAACACGAAATACTAGATGTGACAGTCTTGAATTTGATCCCGTATAGGATAATGAATATGCATTAACGAAAAGTTTTTCAGCAGAATAAATCAACCATTGAATGCCTGCTACTCTTCCAAATGTTCTCTAGTTTCGGCTCTTGATGAAAACTACTTCATATCAGTGATCTTTGGTTCCAGTGAAACTCTCTGACGTGATTTAAAATTGGTAGACTGACGATGACGATGAGGGCGATCATTAAATGTAAAAAATTATTTAAGTAGCCTCAGCCTCACTGCCATTACCTCTTTGATTAACACCGTGGTCCTAAGTTGACTAAGCAGCAAGATTTAGCTGTTAACCACATCGTTAAATTACCCATCTTAGACTATTTCAGATAGCATCTCCAACAATTAGTGCACTTAGGATCGGGTTAAAAAGAACTCGCTAGGTAACTGATATGATGACGTCAAACAAATGGTTATATGTCATTTAACTTCGCCTAATTAATTAGCTTTCTATGTTTCTAGTCAGTCCCAAGCCCAGGTAGAAAGAAGTGGTTGGACGTGGGGCTAGCAACCCCACACCACTAAACCTATCAAACTACTACACAAACTTCAATGCACAG